TTTTTTGAGACAGGGTCTAGCTATGTAGTTCACAGTATCCCTGAGCTCACTGCATAGCCTAGGCTAGTCTAACTTGCAACGATCTTCTTGCCTCAGCCTCCTGAGTGCTGGGATTACAGGCATCACCACCACACCCAGACTTTATTTTCAAAATTCTTGGTAAAATTTAACAGTAATAAAAATATAAATATGGTAGACCTCAGAAATTCATGAGAGTTATGTTCCTAGAGAACATGCGTATTATGAAAACACAAATTTCAGATATGGTTGGGGGAAAAAGCCTATAAATGGCTGTTTTTATTATTTAAATCCTAAATATGTGACCTCTCACAGTTATATAATTTAATACATTACTGTATTAATAAAGCCTCAGAATGGATGAAAAAGATGTGGTATTTTTATACAATTGAGTTCTACTCAACTATAAAGAAAGACAAACTCAGAGCCTTTATAGGTAAGTGGATGCAACTAGAGGCTATACTCATAAGTGAAATAAATCAGACCCACATGTATAAATATCATATTGTCTCCACAGTGTTTAAGAACCTGAAAGAATAAACAAAATCTGAAAGGTATAATAGGTATAGCAAAATGAAAAGAAACTCAACTTAAGGATTAAACAATGAAGATGAGAGAAAAGAGAAAAGATAAGAAAAAAGGAAGGGGGAAAACATAGATAGAGAGTGGATGGCTGAGATGATTGTACTAATGATTTCCATCAGTTTTTTGAAAATAGCAGTTAATGTTTAGAATTGTCACCTTGACGGACTGTGCTGATATCTGTGATCTGAGCTACTACATTAAGGGCAGCAGTGTGTAATACAAAACTCATGGTTGAATATGAACCATTGCTAATGTCTTATTAATTATTATACTCTCTTTAAAATAAGTTTTTTTAAACAGACAAAAGATTTCTTGAAAGCAAGTGTTAATATTCAATTATTTCTCCATCTTGCATAACTATATCTGTTAACCTGAGCAAAAGATTTGATGATAAAAATAGATAATATAACAACCACTGTTAATTAGCAATTGCTGTTTTGAAAATCTGTAACATATGTATTGTTGTATGTTACCCTGTTTCTGTCTTTTTTTCTATTTGTTTTTGATTCTGTGTTTACTCTTTGAAATAAAATTAGAAAAAATTAAGCCTTAGAAGATACAGGGTGTTTTGGTAGCCTCTTATGCATCTTAGGGCTTTAAGAAAAACACAATTTGATGATGACAGCTGGAGAAAGGGCAGCAGAGAGCTTTCTTCTGGGATTCGTTCTTCTAGTTATAGATTCCATATTCAGTGATAGAAAACATATTTTAAATTGGAAGAAAAGAAAAACAAAATCAGGCATTCCTCCACACCTCTCACCTTTAAACATATAGTACTTAAAAAACAAAACAGCAAATTCAACCCAATACAGAAGCTCTTTGTGGGTATTTGGTGACACCATGGTGGAAGGAGCTCCAGAGCTGCCTCTGGGTGACCTCTGGCCACCTGCACAGGGTCCCTCACTTTCTTCTGAGGAAGCCAGAAGGAAAACTGGCTCATGAACTGTGAAAGTGTGGTTTTATACCTGACCGTGGTGAATTATTTTATATAAGGTCATTCCAATATCTATTTTAAAAATAGGAAGGCTGCTTATATATAATAAGGAAGGAAGGAAGGAAGGAAGGAAGGAAGGAAGGAAGGAAGGAAGGGAAAAGAAAAGAAAGAAAAAGAAAAAGACCAAGAACACTGGAGACAGCTGCATGCAGTACAGCACCCTGCTATGCTGGTGCATCTGCTGAAGGTGGGTTACAGGGCAGCAGCCAGTCACCAGCAAGGAGAACTGAATAATGCTTTTGGACTCCTACTTGCAAGCCTCAAAAAAAAAAAAAAAAAAAACATTGTGGAGAATATTTGTGGTTTCTGCAAAATGACAGAGATTTCTGTGAACAATTATTAGGTATTCAGGAAAAATCATGAATGACTGAGGGTGTGAACTCCAAATTGTGACCTTGTAGAGTTCTGCTGCATCCTAGGACTAATCGGAAGGTCTCATCATTGGGCCTTAGTGGATGAGAGTCTCCAGGCAATTGAAACCCTACCTGGCTTAAACCTCTCTTGCCCCATGGATGAGCACTCTGCCACTTTGTGACACTTCCTAAGTTTACCATGTGAAATTTTCTATGAAGGAAGTTCTTTGTTTCCTCCCTTGGAGTTTTCAATAAATGATTATTCTAGCAATTACCAAGAAATATTTCCATGGTTTATTGTTTTTCAATAAATATATGTTTGATCTTTTAGGAGACAGTGACCTTTGAGGATGTGGCTGTGAACTTCACCATGGAGGAGTGGGCTTTGCTGAATCCATCCCAAAAGAGGCTCTACAGAGATGTGATGAAAGAAACTTTTGGGAACATCACTGCTATAGGTAAAGATTGGCATTACTTCCTCATCTATCCAATCAAAGAACACTGTTGTTCATTAGTATAGCTTTAAATAAAATGTGAAAATATTTTGGAGCCTTTCGGCCGGAACCGCCATCTTCCAGTAATTTGCCAAAATGACTAACACAAAGGGCAAGAGGAGGGGAACCCGGTATATGTTTTCCAGGCCTTTTAGAAAACATGGGGTTGTTCCTTTGGCTACATACATGCGAATCTACAAAAAGGGTGATATTGTAGACATCAAGGGAATGGGTACTGTGCAAAAAGGAATGCCTCACAAATGTTACCATGGCAAAACAGGAAGAGTCTACAACGTTACCCAGCATGCTGTTGGCATTGTTGTAAACAAGCAAGTTAAGGGCAAGATACTTGCCAAGAGGATTAATGTGCATATCGAGCATATTAAACACTCAAAAAGTCGTGATAGCTTCCTGAAACGTGTCAAGGAAAATGATCAGAAAAAGAAGGAAGCCAAAGAGAAAGGTACCTGGGTTCAGCTGAAATGCCAGCCTGCCCCTCCCAGAGAAGCACACTTTGTGAGGACCAATGGAAAGGAACCCGAGTTGTTGGAACCCATTCCCTATGAATTCATGGCATAAACTGGGGATGTTGCTCTGCCATTCAGTACCTAATTGGCAGCTTAAGTGTTCTAGGTCCTATGTAAAAATAAAATCATCCTGTGTTGTAAGGGTGGTTTTCTTAGTTGAACAGGTATGTGGTGCCTTCTTACCTCAGAATATTTGCAGCAGATTTTCACTGTACCCAGTAATTGTGTCTAGGATACTGCTGAGGTATTGCACAGGTGTATACCCAAAAATTCAAATATTTATAAAGTATTTATATTGGCTTGAAGATCCTGTAAATCATCATGGGGAAAAGATGTATCAAAATAAATGGAAGTCACTTCAGAAACAAACTTAAGTCCATTTCAGTTAAATAAATTGTTTAACAGCAATTAACCACTAAGAAGAATATATGCAGTGTATTATTTGTTGAAACTGTACTTCCGATTTGATTTGAAACTGTCTCATTGCTATCTGTTTATCAATAAAACTGTAGAAAAAAAATAAAATAAAACAACCTGAAAAAAATAAATAAATAAATACATTGTTTAAAGCACAAAAAAAAAAAATATTTTGGAGACTATCACAGATTTGGTTACATTATACCATGAATCTAACTGGAGCCTTTTCATGTAAATCTTTATGTAATAATACAGTATCTCCTTATATCTTTATGTCTGTAATTCAGGAAGAGTCTTGGATAACCAGGAAGTTGAAGAGTACAAAAATTACTGCAGAAGTCTAAGGTAATTTGCACTCAAAAGGAAAACAATATTCCTGAATATTAAGTGTACTACAGTGCCTGCCTGGCAAGCACAAGGTCCTGAGTTCAATTTCCAGTACAGGAAAAAAAAAAAAAGATTCAATATATGACTAGAAATATTACAACCAGGAAAATATAGCCATGTTCAAATTTATTTAATTTCCACATTTAATCACAAATATTCTCCAAAGATGTATTTAGTATTAGTATGTATAATCTGACAACTGAATAAAGAAATATTCTAATACAGGAAAATGAGTACTGATGAATGCAATATACAAGTATAAAAAAAGTTCTTTCATGATCACCATTGTAAAAATGCATGAAATTGCATTTAGTATTATGTATAGTATATATGAAAAGAAATGAATTTTGAAGTCTTTCAGCATATCTGTATATATGTGAATATGAGATATTCAGTATCTAAAAAAATTGCTAAACTTGAAGCAGTATTCAGAGTACACATGAATGTTAGTATTGTAATAACAAGTGCTTTTAAGCCATCCTCCAGAGAATTGAGTCCATTCATGTTTTAAAATTCTTAAGAGGTACCCTCCAACACATTGGTATGAATGTGACATATAGTCAGTATGATAATTAGCACAAGGACATCTCAAAAAAAAGTACAGGAGCCAGGGAGATAGCTCAGTAGAATAAGTGCTTGTTTGGCGAGTGCAAGGTCCTGAGTTCAATCCCTGCTACTGGCAAAAATAAAAATAAAATTTAAAGAAAGGTACAAGTAAAAGTTTCATTTAGTCCAGGAATATCTCTCCTAGGTATAGTCCCAAAAGAGTAAAAGTCATCACATTATACTGATATATGCATACATATAGTGAAAGTAATTTTTTTATATTCCCAGCACTGTGGGAAGCTGATTCAAAAAGATGGTAAATTGAAGCACAGCATGAGCAACTTAATCATCAGTGAGAATCTCTTTCACAATAAGAGATTAAAAAGCTGGAGATTGAATTCAGTGCTAAGACCTGTGTTTTAAAAGAAAAAAAAAATGTGCTGTTTAATCAACCATAAAGATGAATGATATCATATCATTTGGCAAGATAAACAGGTGGGTCTCTATCCTATGTAGTATTAAGTTAAATAAGTAAGACACAGAATATCAAAGGTCACATGTTTTTTTCTTATATGAGCAACCAAAAATATAAATTAGGGAGCAAAATAAAAGAGGCAATTAAAAGAAGAAAGCCTGACTATTTGGGAAGACAAACCAGGGTAAGGAAAGGGAAAAGAGTGAAGGAGGAAAAGCTATCAAAATGATCAATATGTGCTGTGTATATATACCAACTGTCCAAAATAAAACTAAGCCTTCAGTATTACAAAAATTCCCAAATGAATACTAGTCTTGGGAAGGCTAATTTGATGATACCTTCTAGAGCAATCAGTTAATTCACTGTCAGAATTTTTTTTTTTTTTTTTTTTTTTTTTTTTGTAGTACCAGGAATCAAACTCAAGAACTTGTACTTGCCAAGCAAGCACTTTTTCTACTGAGCTATCTCCCCAGCCAGAATTTCTTAGGAGGCATCAAATTAGAGCTTGGGCTAAATGATTAATACGAGACCCATTGTGTAGGAACTTTTTCTTTTCTCTACAGAAATGAAGAGGTTGAGAAATGCTATCAAAATAAGGGTTGGAATCAATATGAAGAAATATTCCTTTGGACTCCAGATGCTACTGTGGACATGAAACAAGCTGGTTTAAAACCAGCTGAAGGACTTGCTGGTGGAAAGCCCCTAATTGGGCCTTTTTCACAAAATGTGCCCATCATAGCTGACACTGAACTGAACACATCTGAGTATTTGGGATCAGAAGAGAATCTGTGTAAGTGTAATGAACATGTAAGGCCCTGTGATTTCCAGTCCTTTCAGACAGATGCAAACACTAAGACTGGAAAAAAAAACAATGAATATGATCTTTGTGGGAAATCTTACACTGATAGTGAAAGAACTTACCTTTCAGAGAACACTTTTGTATGTAAGGAAAATTTAAAAGCCTCCAGGAAACCAAATCATGAAAGAATTCACACTGTGGAGAAACTCTATATATGTAAGCATTGTGGCAAAGCTTTTGGTACACAAAATTATTGTAAAATTCATGAAAGAACTCAAAGTGAGGAGAAGCTCTATGTATGTAAGCAGTGTGGGAAAGCTTTTAGTACACAAGGTACTTGTCAAAGACATGAAAGGACTCACATTGGGGAGAAACCCTATCTATGTAAGCACTGTGGAAAAGCTTTCAACAGGCACAGTGATTATAAAATACATGAAAGAATTCACACTGGAGAGAAACCCTATGTATGTAAGCAATGTGGGAAAGCTTTCAGTAGGCACAGTGAATGTAAAATACATGAACGAATTCACACGGGGGAGAAACCCTATGTATGTAAGCAATGTGGGAAAGGTTTCAGCAGGCACAGTGAATGTAAAATACATGAACGAATTCACACTGGGGAGAAACCCTATGCATGTAAGCAATGTGGGAAAGCTTTCAGGAGGCATAGTCAGTGTAAAATACATGAACGGATTCACACGGGGGAGAAGCCCTATGTATGTAAGCAATGTGGGAAAGCTTTCAGCATGTGTAATATATGTCGAAGACATGAAAGAATTCACACTAGAGAGAAACCCTATGTATGTAAGCAATGTGGGAAAGCTTTTAGTACACAAGAGCATTGTAAAATACATGAAAGAATTCATACTGGGGAGAAACCCTATATGTGTGAGCAATGTGGGAAAGCTTTTAGTACACAACGCTATTGTAAACTACATGAAAGAACTCACACTGGGGAAAAACTGTATGTGTGTAAGCAATGTGGGAAATCTTTTACCACACAGCGTTATTGCAAAATACATGAAAGAAATCACACTGGGGAGAAACCTTATGTATGTAAACATTGTGGGAAAGCTTTTAGTACACAAGAGCATTGTAAAATACATGAAAGAATTCACACTGGAGAGAAACCTTATCTGTGTAAACAATGTGGGAAAGCTTTTAGTACACAACGCTATTGTAGACTACATGAAAGAACTCACACTGAGGAAAAGCTGTATGTGTGTCAGCAATGTGGGAAAGCTTTTGCCACACAGCGTTATTGTAAAATACATGAAAGAACTCACACTGGGGAGAAACCCTATGTATGTAAGCATTGTGGAAAAGCTTTTAGTACACAAGAGCATTGTAAAATACATGAAAGAATTCACACTGGAGAGAAACCCTATGTATGTAAGCATTGTGGGAAAGCTTTCAGTACACACGAACATTGTAAAATACATGAAAGAATTCATACTGGAGAGAAACCCTATGTGTGTAAACAGTGTGGAAAAGCTTTTAGTTCACAACGCTATTGTAAACTACATGAAAGAACTCACACTGGGGAAAAACTGTATGTGTGTAAGCAATGTGGGAAAGCTTTTGCCACACAGAGTTATTGTAAAATACATGAAAGAATTCACACTGGGGAGAAACCCTACGTATGTAAGCATTGTGGCAAAGCTTTTAGTATAAAAAATTATTGTAATATACATGAAAGAATTCACACTGGGGAGAAACCCTATGTATGTAAGCATTGTGGGAAAGCTTTCAGTACACAAAATTATTGTAAAATACATGAAAGAATTCACACTGGGGAAAAACCCTATGTATGTAAGCATTGTGGGAAAGCTTTCAGTAGGCACAGTAAATGTAATATACATGAAAGAATTCACACTGGAGAGAAACCCTATGTATGTAAGTATTGTGGGAAAGCTTTTAGTACACAAAATTATTGTAAAATACATGAAAGAATTCACACTGGGGAGAAACCTTATGTATGTAAGCATTGTGGGAAAGCTTTCAGGAGGTACAGTAAATGTAATACACATGAAAGAATTCACACTGGGGAGAAACCCTATTTATGTAAGCATTGTGGGAAAGCTTTCAGGAGGCACAGTAAACGTAATATACATGAAAGAATTCACACTGGAGAGAAGCCCTATGTATGTAAGCAATGTGGGAAAGCTTTCAACAGGCCCAGTGAATATAAAATACATGAAAGAATTCACACTGGAGAAAAACCCTATATATGTAAGCAATGTGGGAGAGCTTTTAGTACACCAGGTTCTTGTAAAAGACATGAGAGAACTCAGTGGGGAGGAACCCTATGTATGTAAGCAATGTACAATTTTCAGTAGGCACAGTGAATGTAAAATACATGAAAGAATTCACACTGGGGAGAAACCTTATATTTAAGCAATTTCGAAAAGCTTTCAACAGTCAGTAAATGTAATCTACATTGGAGAACTCAATGCAGAGAAAAACACTCTGTATATAAGCAATGTAGGAAAGCTTTTGCTACACAAAACATCATACTGTACATGAAAGAATTCACAGTGGGGACCTGGGGAGATAGCTCATTAGAGTAAGTGCCTGCCCAGCAAGTGCAAGGTCCTGAGTTCAGTCTGCAGCACCACAAAGAAAAAAAGTAGGGAAAAACCCTACTTATGTAATCAATGTTGGAAAGCTTTTACTACACAAAATAATTGTAATATACATTGAACTCACAGTGTGGAGAAGCCCTATATATGTAAGCAATGTGGGAAAGCTTATAGTGCACAATACTATTGTAAACTACATGAAAGAACTCATACTGGGGAGAAAGCTTATATACATAGGCAATATGGGAAAGCTTTTAGTAGACAAGATTTTTGTAAATATATGAAAGAACTCACACTTGAAATAAACTAAGCAATGTGGGAAAAATTTTAGCAAATATAAAAAGCAGAAGTTCTCACACTTGGCATTAATTCTAACTTGTAAAGCAATTGGGAAAGCTTGTAGCATGCCTAGAGCTTGTCAGAGACAAAAGAACTCAGCAGAGAAAAACATCATGTAGAAATTACACAAATCTATTGTCAAATGAAAGAAACCTTACTAAAGATATATAGAAAGTCTTGTGAAAGTTTCTCATGTAGTGGACATGAGATAATAGGGATAATTAATATAAAAAAACTCGATAGCAATATTTCTCCAGATACACATATGTTTTTCTTTAAGTCACTTAAATATCTGTATTATGTGTCTGCAGTATTTAATATCAAAATGAGTTAATATAACTAGGTATTTTTATGTAATTGTTACTGCACATAATATATAGTATCTTTTATTAAGCATGGTGAATTGAAATGTATTTTTTACCTTCAAATAGAGTTAATATGTATGTAGTTTTTATTTAGTCTTTACAATTGGGAAGTATAGGCCATTGAAAAACTTAATTTTTATCCATTGCTTTTTGGTATTGGGATTTTGCCACTACCTTTGTTTTAACTTTTTGGTGTGCTTACTCTGTAGTCTATGTAACAGGAGATTTTTTTTTATGCTATATTTTATATTAAAATATTTTCAGAGACTAGGCAACATGTATTTTTGTCAAAGTTGATTTATTTCTGCACAATTTATAGATTAGCACATTGTTTCTCATATGACAAGATGTCTGCTTATTGTCTAGTATATCATGTACATAATTTTGCATATTTTTTCAGATTAGGGCCAGTATTATCATTTCCATAAAATTTTGTTATCAAAATTGTGCTTTTCTTATTTATATTCCAATGATTTCATTTGGTGGTAATTTTTCCACCATATATGCCAAAAATAACTCAAACTGCTGTCACCTTCTGACATGATTAGCAGGACCGCAAGTTGTCTCCAAAAGGATATGAATTATAATAATCTCTCCAAAAGATAAAGGATGGTATGATTTATCAGTATCAACACTTTCAAAGGAATGTTTGTTAACAGTGAAGTTGTTTAGGGGAGAATAATTGCTATTGAATGAAGTGAGGCAAATGTCTTTTTCCCTGATTCTGTGGTACAGTTCTATCTTTGATATTCATATTTTTGGGACAGGGTTCCACTATGTAGTTCAGACTGGAGTCCAGGCTGGTCTCAAACTCATAACAAACCTGCCTCAGCCTCCCAAGTGCTGGGATTATAGCCATGTATCACCAATGTCTGGCCATCTTTATTGTTTCTAACAAGCAGAAATAATTCCTGAAGGAAAACCTAACTAAAGCATTTACCAATTGTGTATTATTGTATCTGAAATACCTTACATAATTCATAAAATATAACACAATGCAGACTACAGTGTCAATTTTTACACCCTACAATTCATGCCTAACTCCACTGCAGCATATTTGTGCTTCTTATCATCAAGAAGAAGATACATAGGGGATATTACTATTTGAGTTTGTCATGGAATATTGAAACTACAATATATTTTACCCTCAACACATTTACTTTCCCATTCATTTTACCATGAAAAAAGATCTTCTAGGCCTTGTGATGTATATTTGTAATCCCAACATGTTAGGCGGCAGAGATGAGAGGAAAAGAAAATTTAGGCCAACCTATTCAACTTAGTGGGATCCTGTCTCAAAATATATGTTGAAGTTCTGCAGATGTAGCCCAGTGATCTAGGACTCCTAGGTTTATTGTCCAGTATCAACATTTTTTTAATATAAACGATAACACATCAGTGTTTGTCCCTTACTCATTTAATATATAAAGGCCTGTCTCAGTTACTTTTCTCTCATTGCTGGGACACAATACCTGACACCAAAAATTCAGGAAAAGTTTATTTAACTCACAGTTTTTGGTGCTTTCAGTCCATACTCAGCTGGCTCCAAGGCAGAGTGGCACATGGAAGAGGGCAGCTGTTCATGGTAGCAGAAAACAGCAAAGAGCAAAGGGAGGAGCAGCAGCTGTGGTTGGCAGCTAGCAAGCCTCTCTCCCTTATATTGTATTGAGACTATCTGCTCCAGGGTGGGTGTAGTACTCACACTCATAATCCCAACATTGGATCATGAATTAATCACAAACTCTAGAAGTCGCTCCAATGACTGCATGAGGCTTTAGGGGGACAACTGAACACAAACCATAACAAGGTCTAATCCAAATGCAGTGATGCATTCCTTTAACGCCAGCATCAGAAGAGGCAGAGACAGGATATAATTATGACTTTGATATGGGGATCAGGGGAGCAATTGAAGTGGGTTCCTTCACAAACTGAAACAGTTCTCTTTATGTCTACATTTTAAATTTAAGGAAAGAAACAAGTTTAGGTTAAGAACATAAACCTAGGATGGGCTAAAATATCACTTGCAAATCATGGTTCTGTTACTCTGGAAATAATCTTTTCTTGGTAATATTTGTACAGCAGCCATATATATGCTTGCATCATAGATTAAAACACCAACAATGAAACATAAATAAGATAAGCATTCTGAGTACAGGAGTGACATGGAAAAAAATGGTTTTCTTAATGCTCCTAGAGTTTGGGTAGAAAATAAGGTGAGAAGATACAAGAAACAATTATATAAAATTGAAAAATTGCAGACATGGAAGCAAACAACAGAGTGAAGAAGTAACCTATGAAATAGGAAAATGTCTTACATTTGCTTTGCCAACTACAAATATCTGGAAAACAACATGAAAGTTAAATGACTATATACTTCTCAGAAGAA